GTAGTTGCTTGTCATGAACATGTCATTCGCGAGAAACGCCGCTGAGGCAAAGGCGTTCTGTTCTCGTTCCGCAGTTGGCCCGTTGGTAGAGTCCCCAGAGAAAAAAAAGTATCCCGCAACGATCGCATGCTCATGTCATCGTTGTATACATGATCACGGGTACTATTACCCGCTAGATACGGGCTACCAGGGGACGGCTTAAAGGACGAGTTGGGTCGTCAAGAAGTGGAATCAAAGGGATGATGTCAATACAACCACTGTAGCTGATGCTGGAGTTGGTATATGCTGTCAATACCGTGTGTTGCATATCAGCGAATGAGCCCTCGCCAAACAGTGCCATGGCGATGTATAGAAGGGGACCATATTGCCGGCATTGATCACATTCGAGGTAGCGTCGAGCGTAGTCGCGGCTGTATCAGTGTCAAGATCCCGAGGAGTGACATTCCGCGGGCTCCTGCCAAACGGACTTTCTTCAATCAACAGCCCAGGGACTTGACCATTCGTGTAGTTGGGAAGCTCGAAGCAGCCCGTCGTGGTGTGGAGTGTCAGCTTCCTCAAATATGTTCCTGATCTGGGCGCGTACTTAAGCATTCCCCGTCCCCGGAAAGTTCATCTTGAATACAACTCTTCGCTGAAATCTTGTCGAGACAATCTGTTTTTCCACGGTGATTCTGACGTGTTTCCTGGCATACTTATCTCGACGTCGTATTGAAACGGTGCGTCAATCCATGCCCCATTCGAGTAAGAATTGCAAAACGGAGGGTCCTCCAGCATTTGAGGAAAGGAATCTTCTTGTTGTGAAGCGCCCCTACTGCCTGGCGCGAGCCGATGAAACCCGTTCGTGCAGGTCAGTACTCCGGTTTAACCTCAAATCGTTGTTAAATTTCGTCGCGCTGAGGCTGGCTGCCAGTCAGTTCGTGGACACGATAGTCTAGGATGCGTGAGTTGTTCAGCCTTTGGAAATAAGGTAACTCACCAATAAGGTAACTGACCTTCTCGGGCGAAGAATCGCAGTCTATCCTGTTTCCTCATTCCGACACCACTCGGGGTAACACACCGCTAGCGGGGAAGATACGAACAGCTTCTAGTCAGACAGTGTTGCAAATGTCGGAGGGTCGACGTCAATTGACCATTGATCTCTCCACAAGTGCTGACGGCGATTCAAGCCTTCTTTTGCACTTATTCGTGAATTTTGGCCAGGGCTGTATTGCCTAGTCAACCATAGTAGCCGGTCTCCTATCTCTGAGCTATATGATCATTATCTGTTGGATGACATGGTGTTGGGCAACTATCCGCTTTTGACGGCTTCGGGTGGGAGCGGGTGGACAAGAATCATAAGTAGCTGCAAGAACCGGAGTGCCATTTCCATCGATAATTATTTGAGTCACTGCGTCACTATCTGCCTGACACTACCTGCACCCTATCTACCTGGTAAACTGCACCCCTAGATCAATATACCAAAACCCCTTGACCGCAGTCGCCGGCGGGGTAAAGCTGGTAATGGCGCCCTCCTTAACCACCTGCTGCCCATCGGGCGCCGTCAGTCTCATCGCAACAGGCGCAGTAATGGGTCCCTTGCCCTGCGGGAGGACCCAAGAGCCATACCGCTCCTGCGGCCGACTACTGGTGTAGTTCGGATCGTGCTCGAGTGCAATCCATGGCCCGGAGCCACCAGCCTGTACCTCGATACTAATCACAGAGCCGGGGCCGTTGGTATTCACCGCGCTCAGCGCAAAATAGTACTGTCCAGCCCCATCATGAAGCCAGATGTAGATGTTCCCCGGCTTGGGACAGGGGACACGCCGGTAGCGGATGGGAATCACGCCGTCGGTGAGACTGCCGTTTCCCTGGAGTCGGCCCATGGCGATATCGGAGAGGTCCATGTGATGGGATCCTTCCGGCAGGGGACAGCCGTACTTGAAGTCGATTTCGCCGCAGTGGTCTGCGCCGCTTCCGCCTGGTCTTGTGAGATTTGTGCGTTGGAGATGGGAAGGGGGTCCACTTACAGCACCATTTTGAATTTGCATCACAGGGACAGCTGTCTACTACCTCGAGGACTATGGGGTCGGTATATCCGCTCTCACCGACGGCGTAGTCCGTCCCGTCGGGCTTGGTGCGGATGAGCTCGAAGCACTCGCCGCAGGAGAGGTAGTTGTCCGGATTGCCGGATGCAGCCAGGGATGGCCAGAACTATTTACTTAGAGCTTATCGACTGGAGGCTTTGCGTGTACTCACCTGAGTGTAGTAGTCTCCGTTCGGAGCAGCAAAGTTCCCGCGGAGCGTGACGTTAGCGGGGTCCTTGCAGAGGAGCGGATACGCGGTGCAGAAGGCGTCGCAGGTAGAGCCCAGCATTGGGTCTGTCCAGCTCGCTGTGACACTGTTCTTGGTGCAGAGGCCGTATAGACCGAACCCACAGGCTCCGCCGCTCGTCAGGCCAAAGTGTGTTGAGCGCTGTAGTCGTCAGTCTTAATTTGAGGCATGATGAGGATGCTCACGCTGTAATGCCAGTCCTCGTTGGAAGTTACGGTGCCTTGCTCTCCCCCTGTGGCTGTATCAGCCGTGTTCACACTTCGAAAGAGGACACATACACATCGTCCCGGACTTGCACATGGAGGAATCAGGACTGCCGCAACCGCCGGTGCAGCTGCTCGTGCAGGACTCGGATTCATTATTCGAGAGACAGTAGTATGGGCAGCAAACGTTATCAACGAGAGCCCACGATCCACATGAGCTGGCATTGGCGGGTGGATAAGGGTTCTGTGTAGCTGTCGGACTGGGAAAGACAGTAGTCGTTGTATAGCCTGACGTGTTGGCAGAAGACGAACCAGGGCTAGAGGGAGAGGTCCCTGTGATAGTTGAAGTCTACTCTGCGTTACGACCAGTACGAACAACTCGGTGGTGATAACACTCACAGCTGTTGCTGGTGTGCACTGGTAGTAGTACGAATTAATCTCGGCGCAGGTATTCCCACTCTGACAGCAGGTAGACCCGGTATAAGAAATACCACCACATTGACCCCTGACTCTTAGTAAAATGCAGGCTCTGACATGAGGAAGACTCACCAAGCCGAGACGCAGCTGCTCTGCGCGGCAGCCACCGCAAGCCAGGCAAGAAATATACCAAGGAGAAGCATCATTCGGTCAAAGCTTGATCTACCAGGTGGACGTGCATCTGGAAGAAATCCGTCCTATATTTATATGCAACTTGACCATCCCCATTAAGCACGGAGATGCACATTTATCCCGCAAATTGCATATCTGCAGCATTCAGGCAAGTAAGACAAGCATAAGCCGAGACGGCAAAACTGCTTACTTTAATCTATTTAAACCTTGCATAAAGGTCGGATCCAATCGATCTCTTTTGATTGGAGAAAGCCAAATTACCTTATTTAGCCTGATTTACGCACTGAGGTATTTGCGTCAATCAAGCTCTAGGGATTAAGGGATCGGACCGCGATTCCGTGTCAGGCTGCACATGACAAACGACGGGAAAGAGGGCCTCTCAACCCTCTCGACCATTGCTGGGCCAATATAACTTGTCTAAGAGCTTACGGAAGAGCTTACTTACGTTCGGGTGAATGGAGGTACCCCTTCTGGTTGTTATGATAGTAATTGAAGCTCCTGAGGGTGGAGGATATGTGAGCGGAAAAGAGTTCCACGCAAATGCAAGGGATTATCATTCCGAGGTATCATATGGTTATCCACAGTATTGGCCGCGGGTTAGGCTATGTCGAACTTAGGCGAGATGGCACCGGCTACATTGATCAGGCAATAGCTGTATCTACGGAGTTGGACAGGAAAAGACGGCGAAAGTTATGATTGTTCAACGGTTGCCCTTCCAACAATATATCGATCGTTCATGTCAGACAACTAGTGAACCAAGCAAGCTAATGAACAATCAATCAATCTCGAAGCGCAAAATATCAACAAACATAGAAGCAGAACGAATTGGGAACAAATGAAGTACCCTCATGGCGCTGTAACAACAGGATTAGACCAAGCCATACCAAATCAATCACACAGTCTCACCTCGTAGCTTATCTGCATGAGGTGCGAGGTAATAATCCGCATATCCCGGAGGATATGCAAACTCTTCTTTTCCTGGGCCAACCACGCCATGCATTCAAACGATCCATCACGCTTCATCTTGTAAAACTCGACCTCACGACCGACGACGATCGCACCGTGGATTGTCATCCCGCGCCCCCGCGCAATCTGACAATGAGACGACTTCATCATCTCCTCCTTCAACTTGTTCTGCATCTCTGCCAGGTGCCATTCCTCCTTCGGCTCAGCCTGGCAGAAGACGTGAAGGAAGCTGAGACGGTCGAACGGGCCGTATTCGCGGCCGACGGCGAGCGCGATGTGTGAGCTCTCGGAATCCTGATGATTGCCTAGAGCGTACTTCACCGCGGTCTCGTCAGGAAGATCGCGCAGGTTGGGGAGAGAACCATGGAGAGGGAAGGGGAAATACCTCTGGAGGAGGTGCGTCCACAGGACATACAACTCTTCACGCGAGGGAGACTCGGGGAGGAGTGCGAGTTTCTCGCGCAGTTCAAGTGGGAGATGCTGGATATGAGTTAGCATTCTTTCTTGCAAAGGGGCAGGATATTGGCGAACCATTGCGGATATCGAAGTATTTGTGATGAGCAGGGATATATGACGGAAGTTTGCAAGTCGGGTTGGAAAAGAAGAGTTGTTGAGGAGAGGTGGTTGATGATGATGAGAAGACGGACTTCATGATGTTGTTCAGATATTTATATTCGAGTCGGGTGGAGTCCATGAGACAGAAGCAGAATGTTCAGACACTACGGAGGGTAGATGATGGTGTCTCGAATATGTCTTGATTGCTAACAAAGAGGACAATGCGACTGACTGATACCAATTTTTGACATTAAAGATACGTCTACAGACGGACGAGACAACTAAACAAAGGCATTGTTCTCTGCGATGAACGACAATTCCATTCATTCTGCCATGTCTCAAACACTAGACAACAAGTTACTGAGGAACAGACAGATTCTGATGCAACTCCTTTCGCTGGACGGCCCCGAAACGAAGATTGCCGACGTCGAATATCTACCACCGTTAGCAAGATTCCTTCAAGAACGAACAGACAAAGACGTACTGCGTAAATTCCCTTGAGGAATGTGTCTCCAAGGATATCCATTGTCATGCTGCCTCTGCTCTGGATACCTCCGTAGACATAGCCCGACTTGGCCTCGGCGAAGCCCAGATCCTCCCTTTGCACGACGAATTGTTTGTCTCCCACAGCAAAGGAGACGACAGGAAGTTTGTCTTCTGTCGTGTTGGACGGGAAAATATACCCCTGACTTTCGTCGTCGTAATGCGCCCCAGGAATAGCATCATAAATTGCCTGACACGTCTCATCATCGACCAGCGCCAACGTCGTCCCCGTATCAGCAATGGCCTTGTTTCCCGAGCGCGCAATCGTCTTCCCATTCACGGTCGCCGAGGCAGAGTCAAACAGCCAAAATCCCTGGCTGTTGTCGATGGGAGTGTAGTATACTTCCTCGCCCGACGCCGTCACTGTATCCTGATCGATGAACCCAAACGTGTAGAACGGCTCGCCCTCGTCCGGCTCGTTCGCATCTTTCCAGGTCCCCAACTTCGCAGTGAACAGTTTCGCGGATTTCGGTATATCCTCTTGCGCGATCATATTTTCGACAGGAGTGCGGACAGCCTGCGGCTTGACCGTGTTGATGTTGCTAAACGCCAGTCCAAGCAAACCATCGCAAGTTCCCTGCTCGAACTGCGCGGAAAGGGTATCGGCCAGTTTGATCGCCTGATTCTCGACCTTCAAGCCGCCGAGCGAGATTGTATCAGTGCCGACCGTACCGGAGGCGAAGGAGCCATCATCGTAAGAGATCTTCCATGTCGAGCCGGACTGTTCTTTGAAAGTGCTCGACTTGCTTGGGTCGAAGATTGTGCCGGTCTTGTGCTGAGAGATGGTCGCCGAGGGGAGGTTGGTGGACCAGACCTATTCCTTAGTATCCTGCAGGTATTAACGAGATACGTAGTGTCTCACCCATAAGTCCGTGGAACCCGTGTCAAACTCCAGATTAACCGTCTGCGCTGGAGTGCCGATACTCACTGGCGCCAGGTACATGGTATCATTCTGGACATCGTCGGCGCCGACTTCGCTTGTCTCGTCTGTATCCGCGATTCGCTTGCGCAGAACGTGCTGAATGCGAGCTCTGCCACCAACAGGCAGGTTTGTATACTGCCGGCCTGTCTGGTGAAGAGAACTGCTGAGAAAGTATCGCCCACCCTTTGTTGGGGTGAAGCGGTACTTGCGCATGAGGTGGACATAGGACTTGGTCCCTGACTTGCGGTACTGGGGGTTGGGGAGAAGCTTGATCTTGGTGGCCATTGTGATTGTTGTTGTAGTGTGGAGATAATTGCAGACTGATGATCGAGATGCAGCGGTTTAAATGACTTGCTGGTCTAGTCTGCCCCTCACCAGCGGGACGTGATGCTGCGGCGGTTTTTAGCGTGTTGGAGAATCTGCAGGATGACATGTTAGCCCACTTATGTTCCATCCGCGAAGGTGTTATTCAGTGATCTGCATAAGTGAGGGACAGTGCATGCGTGGCCAAGGACAGCCAAGTCATTTCTTATTGTTTATGTTGACGCACTGACATTGGTGTCATTCATATTTAATACAGTCATCTCTTCACCTGTCGATTCACAATCTTTCCCCCTTCCATCTCAACCTGCCATTGCTTTTTCTGGCCATCTACAGCCTCCAGCGTCACCCTCCCCTCTCCCGCCAGACAACAGACTAACTCCTTCACAAATGATTGCTCCTCCTCCTCCAGCATTCTCACGTCCGGCCTCCACCTTGCCTCTTCGTACTCCTCCTTCCTAGCATTCAGCCTACTCTTTCGCCACTGCTCCGAATATCTCGCCATCTCGTACAGCCCATTCCACTGTTCCAAGTTCGGCTGCGTTCTCGGCGTAAATCCATACCTGTATATTTCCGTAAAATCCCACTCCCACGGCTGCTCAATATACTCCCCACTGGCAGTCGAGCTACCATCCAATTCGCACGCTCGCTTCCCTCCCGCATCTCTCAGGATGCGTATCACTGCAGGAAAACTCCGGTAGGCCTCCGCAGCTCGAGCGGGCGGGCCCTGCGCTTCATCATACACGATGTTCTGCTCAAGAGCTTGGTTCCGACTAGCGCCGGGCTTGTGGTCCGCCAGTCGGCGCATGTGTGCGCGGCGGCTGATTTCTGCCCAGTGGAGGGCTTGATCTAGGACTGTCCATGGTGGGCGTTTACTCTCCTCGCGGTCGTTGATGCGAGTGGATAGGCCCAGGGAGAGGAGAAGTGTTAGCGAGCGCGGTTTCCCGCGTTCTGCAGCGGCGAAAAGGGTATGGTAGCTGTTGGCATTCGGGAGATAATGTTTTGTATAGGCTTGCTGGATGTCAGGGTTGAGATGATGGAGGAATGTGCGGATCAGGTCGTGCGAGGCCTGGTCGGTAAGTGCGGTGTTGTTGACGATCGAGAAGAAGATGTCCCTTCCCCGGCCGTTGAGAACAAGCGTGTCGGCTCCCTTGTTCAGGAGGAAGAGGCCTCGTCGTGCCGGGTCGAGATCTGTCTCGAGGGCGATGGTCAACGGAGTCGCTCCGCGACGGGTCTTTGCATTGATATCTGCTGGAGGGGAGTGGGCGAGGAAAATCTCGCACGCGGCTTCAAATTCCTCTTCGGGGTGGTAGATGGTGGCTAACGAATCTAGTGGAGTATCCTTTTCAAACATGTTTGGGATGTCAATATCTGGCGTGGCGTTGACGATTTTCTTCATCGTCGACAGGTAGGAATCGGGATAAGCTAGACGGGGTCCAACTATGGATGCCCACGAATGTAGAACCGTATCTCCAGCTGACAGGACGGATTCTCTCAAGTCTGCCCCTGCGTCTAACAGCGCACAAATTACCCCTCCGTCCCAGACTCCTAGATCGGCAGCCGCCGCGACGGGTGTCAGCGGTGGATATCCCTTGTCTTTGGCGTTGAGATCTGCTCCTGCGCCCACGAGTATCTTGACCAACTCCGTCATTTTGGTCAGATGTTGCTCCCAGCTGCCGTGGCGGATCCAGTAGTGCCAGTGGTGAGCAAGATAGCCATGTCGCTCGGGAAAGTACTTGGTGATTCCGTGCAGCGTGTTGCGCCCCACGGAGTCGACCAGGCTGACATCCGCACCGTGGGATATCAGGTACCTGGCAAGAGAGGGTTCACCAAAGTACGCGGTCAAGAAAAGAGGAGTGGTGGATGCATCCGAAGCATGATAGCTTGCGTTTACATTGGCACCCAAAGAAATCAGGGCTTCGACCGCTGTCATGTTGCGGACGAAACAAGCCCAGTGCAGAGGTGTACCGTGAGGAAGCTCAAATGGACTGTCGCTGTTAGATCATTCTTGAGAGGAGACGGAGAACATACTAGTGAAGGATCTGGATCTTCCCAGGGAATCCACCACTGTTCTCCTTTACAACAGGCTCAATGGTTGCGTTGATGTTCACTCCTCCCTCGACCATTCTTCTCGCGATTCCAGTGATAGAAGAGTCAGGAATCATAAACAGCCAGTGCATCGGACTCACCTTTTCCTGCCGAGTCACAGTCGAAGCATCGGCCCCCCGGTCGAGCAATAATTCAACCATTTTCGCATGGCCAGCTTGGAATGCCTTGTACAGTGGCGTTTCTCCCTTCTCATTCTCCACATTGACGGACAGCTGTCCGTCGTCTAGTAATGCTCGAACGGCATCAATAGCTCCCAATGCAGCCGCAGCGTGTAGCATTGTGTTTCCTTTCCGATCAACAATACTTCCATTCTCCGTCTTCCACCTCAGGGCTCTGTTCCTGTCTCTCGCAGCCTCGACAACATCCTTCTTCGCGAGAAATGGATCCGAACAGAACCCTCCATTGGCCCTAAACCGTTCACGTGCTTCCTCGATCTTTTCCTTGGAGTAACTAGGACTTGCAAACAAATACCCCTCGGAAACAGCCTGCAACATCCACTCCTCCAACACATCCTCCGCAAACTCCGGCCTTTGGCCATGCGCCTCCATGATCTGCGCATATACCCCCCTTGCAGGCGAGTATCCCGCCCTGGCTGCCTCGGTTAGATACGTCAGCAACCGGTCGAGATATGACGGCTTCGCGCCGGTCACCGTCTGTGCCAGCCCAAAGAACACGTCACCGGGGAATGGTGGTGCGTTTCCCTCTTTCATCAGGGCGTATTGCTCTTCCAGCTCTGTCTGAACGGTTTCATCAAGTCGATACCAGAACAAGGGACCTTTGTTGTAAATTGGGTCAATGATGCCGACGTGCGTGTTTGTAGGTGTCAATTGGATGGAGGAGAGCCTAATCGTCAGCTTTCATGTTAATACAGTGGGCACATAACCTACCAAGCTGCGTATGTAGGGCTGTCAGTCTTGATCAAACCTGGACTGGGAAGTGGCCGTTTCCGTGGATCTTCCGACAGGAGCTTTGCTATCGCTTTCCGCAACTCCGTGCGTGTGTTCGATGGAATGTCCTCCTGACCATAAAGCATTTCAACAACCTGATCAGGAACATTCTCCGGATCCTCATCCAGAGCAGGGGCCTCGCCGTTCCCCGTAAAGACAGACAGCAGCACCAGCCCAAAGCTATACGCATCGAACCTAAACATCAACTCCGAGGAAAAACCCCCGAACCTCCCGAGATCCTCATTCACCACCTCTGGCGCCAACCACGCCTGCGTGCCCCGGTAATCACTCAACGTGAACTTCGCATCCGGCGCCTCCAAATCAACACAGACCCCAAAATCACTCAACTTCGCCCGGAAGGGCACCCGCTCACTGGGGCCCGCAAACACAAGCACATTATCCGGCTTCACGTCCCCATGCACAATCCTCAGATTATGCAGCGCCTCCAGCCCATTCGCGACATCGAGCGAGAGCTGATACCTGACCTCGACACTGCGCTTCTCCGCGCCCAGAAAATCGGATAAAGGCATCATCGCAGCCTCCATGAACAGCACCGGCACCGCCATATCCGCAAAGGGGAAGTCGAATCCCCACGCCAGCAGACTGGTAATGTTGGGGTGTGCGCGCAGCACGGGATTACACAGCGAAAGCACCTCCAGTCCCAGCGTGCGCAGCTGCAGGCGGTAGTCCATGCTCGCGGCAAAGCGCTGCTCGGCTTTACTGGAGAGCGGGACATTGACGCGCTTGATGACCTGGCCTTCGTAGATGGGGTCGGTGAAGACGGTGAACTGGGCGCCTGCTCCGATTTTAGTACCTCTTGTGGAGAGATTGAAGGCTTTTAGGATGCGGGGGCCGTGGATTCCCGTTTGAGCGAGGAGAGCGGTGAATTGCGAGAGGGTGCTGAGGACGGGCGAGGAGCCGTTGCGGGTGGCTGTTATTGCGGATTCTAAAGGGTCGATCCATGAGGATGAGTCTGAGCTGGAAGAGAGGTTGAGGCTGCTGAGGTCGAGCTCTTCGATGTCTGTGTTGTTGGACCATGCTTGAAGCGAGGGAGAGAGATCGCTGCTGTTGATGGCGTAGTAGCTGTCTTCCTCTAGGGAATTGAGGATTTCGTCGTAGGAAGATAGGTCAGCCATTTTTCAAATTATCTACAGTGATGTACGATGGAGTATCACTTGTGCGGGGTGTTGTCTATAACTACCGGAGTATCTGTCAGCATCATCCCACTTGGCGCCGTTTAGTGCTGACGGTCAGCCTCACGAGTCACCAGCCAACCCCTCTCGACTTCGTCTGACATTCTCCTCTTGCTCATCAGTCAATGAACAAGCAAAATGGACTTCTACGGTACGGCAGTGACGGCCATCACCCAAGTCTACCAAGTCACCATCTTCATCAAAGGCGTCGTCTCCGACATCAAAGCCTTTGACGACGACCGGGCCGAGATCCAGCTGAAGCTCAATCTCCAACTCACGACCTTGCTCTTCTTCAAACGCATCTCCTTTCATCCCGAGCATGGCCTCCTGCTCCCGGGAAAGCTGGACCCTTTCATCGCCGACACTGTCGAAGGGCTCCTGGTGCAGATGCGAAAGACCCTCGCCGAGTACGAGCTCGTAGCGGCAAAGTACGGTCTCATCGATGACGACCTTGCCATCGAGCCCGACAAGCCCGCCAAGACGCAGGAGTCGCTGCTGGAGCGCGCAAAGAGCAAGGCCCGATCACTCAAACTCAAGGGATACGACTGGTCGCTCTTTGACAAGAAGAGGCTGAACCGCATTCTGGACGCGTATACGAAGTGGTCCGAGGACCTGCGCAATATCATGCTGCACATGTCGCAGGATACGTTGGCCAGGATAGCAGAAAGCGACCACCAGGGATTGCGGAGCAGTGGTCTGGAGCCGGTGATGAAGCGCCGGACGCTGGCCGCGGCCAAGGCACCGGCCGACTATCGGAGTTTAGCTGGGACACTTGCAGAAGAAGGCAAGACGATGGGTGGCTTCCGCCTGGGGAAGTGGTCTGCGTCGGAATCTGAGGCAATGACGGTGATTGTCGAGTACCACGAGTACGAGAGCAAGCTTAAACGCGACGACCTCGAGCCGGACGAGATCGAAGAACTCAAGGAACCGATCCGCAATCTCGCCTGGCTCCTACAGAACACAACCTTCAGCGGCACGTCATCCAACTCACTTGACCAGCCAAAGATCTACGCCCTCGAATGTGTCGGCTTCATCGACCAACCCACCGAAGAGCGCACCGTCTTTCTTTACAAACTTCCCCCCTCCGAGCCTACCACAGACACGGCCCTCACAACCCTGCACGCCTTCATCAACGCCGTCGACAGCCAAACTAAACGCCCACTGAAGAAGCCCTCCCTCAACGACCGCTTCAGCATGGCACACAGCCACGCCCTGACCGTCTCCAACCTCCACGCCTCAGCCTGGCTCCACAAAAACATCTGGAGCAGAGGCATCCTCCTCTTCCTCGAGACACCCACCGGAACCAGCGCAGCAGGTCTCTACGCGCACCGCCTTAACCCTTCCCCAAAGAACAACACCCGAATCGTCTCCTACCTCAGCGACTGGGGCTACGCGCGCTCCGTCCAGCAAGGCACAGAAATGCGCTCCGACTTCGAGGTCGAGCCGAACCTCTACCGGCATCCGGACCGGCAGGGGCGGCCGTCGCACCAGTTTAACCGCGTGCATGATATCTATGCGCTTGGGGTGGTACTGCTTGAGATCGGGCTGTGGGTGACGATGTCGCGGCTGATGGAGGGGAAGATCCGGGAGGCGGAGACGAGTGGGCGCCTGCCGAGGTCGAAGAAGGTGCTTGAGGATCTGGTTTCGCTGGCGCAGCAGGGGTTGCCGAAGGAGATGGGGGTGGGGTATACGAAGGCTGTGTTGGCATGTCTGAAGGGGGAGTTTAGGGGGAGGGAGGGGCCGGCGTTGGCGGTGGATTTTCAGGAGAAGGTCGTGGATGTTCTTGCGGGGGGGATTGAAATGTAAATACAGATACTGCATAGAGATATGCTATTATCTATTGAGATTCAAAAAGTCTAGAACACTTGTGCTGGCTTAGAAAGCAAGTGCGATAGCTAGTGCGAAGAAAACAGTAAAAAAGAACGAGGGCAGATTGGCCACAGCAGCACCGGTGAACACGGCTGAAGTACTACCCGAGCTGGATGCAGCAGCAGCCGAGGAAGAAGAGGAAGCAGACGAAGAAGACGAGCTAACAACTCCACTGCTCGAGGTCTGCACAGAGGCCGCGTAAGTACTCGTCGCAGCAATCAATGCTCTAGAAGACGTAGAGGTGGAGATAGAAGACGAAGAAGCGGACACACTGACCGAGTTCGAGCTATGGATGCCACCACCGGTAGTCGAATTCGAGGCCACAATACTGGTATACGAGCCCGTCTTGTCGGTGTAGTTGTATGAGGCTGCAGGGTTGTAGTTGATAATGTTGACCGACTTCACATACATCGTGAAAGGGACATCGTCGTAATCCGTCTCGCCACCGGCCCACTCGATCGTTCCCTCGCTGTTAGACGAATCGCCTCCGGCCCAGATGCCCAGCTTCACGACCATGGGTGTTTGCGGGTAGTTCTTCCCGTCGACGGCATCGGCATATTCGAGGGTGCGCACGGCGGTCCCGTCAATGTACCAGGTGATGGCTGCAGCGGTCCAGACAACTTTGTACGTGTGGAATTCGTCCTGGGGGGTGCTGACGGTCTCCCAGATGGCACGGTCGTACGTGGTCGTGTTGCCTTTGCCAAAGTAGTTGGTTTCTATTTGAGTAGTGTCGGTTCCAGTGCATTCCTATCTTCATCAGTATCTTTCTGTGATGTTATAGAGAAGAGTACTCACCCAGTCAATCTCGTCCAGATCATCTGACTCCATGACGATGGAGCTGACGATGCCGGTACCATTGGCTGCTCTCATGACGACCTCGACCTCGCCGAAGAAAATGTAAAAGTTGGTCTCAAGCGTAGGCGCATCGTACCGCTTGTTGATGGTGAATTCGGCTCCGTTGCTGCCGTAGGTGACATTGCCTGAGATGGCAGTCCATACATCGGAGCTGCCCTGGGTGAAATCGGTGGATAGGCTCCATTTCTTCAGGCCTGTGTCGGGGTCACAAGTTGCTACTCTTGTTAGTCCAGTGAGGTTTACTACCAAGAGCTGGCTTACTGTTGGTAGGATTGCAGCTGGTATAGGTCTGCGCGGCACCGAGGGAGACAAAGGCCGAAACGGCCAGCAATGGCAGCATCATGTTACTGTATGGCTGTTGACAGGAGAAGTGAGCATAAACGAGTGTATGAGTTAAAGGTGAAAGAAACCAAGGATAACTGGTTTATACTAGCAGACCGAGGGAGCAGCCGTTAATGTAGGGCAGCGACCAGCCACATGACGAATCCAGCGTTAACCCCGAGGTGGAACGGACCATCGTTCGTCTGGCATGACACGCACTCTGGTCGGACATAAATCCCAATTCTAAAATATTCTTCTCAGTAGTGCTCTGGAGAATAATGGAGGACATCACTTTGAAAGGTTACTGGTTCAGACGCGTGGCGGGTGGAGAAGATTTCAAGGACGGGGCAACGGGATCGAATAAGCTTCGTCGTGATTGAATCGGATTCGGGACGCTTCCAGGCAGAAGCGTTCAACAATAGATTGATAATTATACTCAGATGGACTCACATATTGCAAAGACACTGCCTGGTACTCTATACAGAGTTGGTGGTTGGCACTTGCTTGTCTAGGTCCTCTAAATACACGTATCAATCTCCCCGTTTCAATGTCAAACTGCTTGAATATGAACCTTCCTGAGGCCCAGTAATTGACCGATAGAAATAAGTACTTCAGGTCTGACTCAACATTAACTTCCCAGACGGTCGTCCAACTGTTCATCAGTCTGCGCTACTAGTACAAATCGCAAGCAAGATTACAAGATATAACAAACCAGAGGCAAATCTAAGATAGCATATTTCTCAATCAATATTGAATTCAAGAGAGTGCTGTAATCCTCCGCCAAAGTGTTAATTGTCTGACACCAACTCAGTCGAGTAGAAACTCATATGTGTATATATAGCCCACTCCACAAGTCACAAAGCCAAGCTTTCGGCAAATTTCTTATCGGCTCTAGGCAGGAAAGTGGCTGAGATATTTACTCATGACTCGTCCATCTGTACCCACTTCCTCTTTATAACTCACTGTTGAGCGTTACTGTGGAGCTATGTAAATCCAGACTTCTGCGAATGATTGCGCGGCATCCGTCATCCATTGTGGGTGGATGCGTAGTCGGCCGCGTCACTGCTTTGATTTCCTTTCCAACCTCTGAATAGCATCCCTGGACATTAAGAGACAACTCTCAATATTCGATAGGGAAGAAAGAAAGAAAGGATATAACTAGGACTCATCCATGATAGTGGTGTTTTGGCTCCACGGAATGATCTCATACGTACCCCGTCATATTACAAATGAAGATTATGAATAGGTTCCGAATAGAATGATTTTTATCAATGTACCATAGCTTAGCAAAGGATCGGAAGCACCACCCATGGTACTTTTTCAATGAAATGTTTACCGTCCTTGTTGTACCCGCAGACCACCACGTCTATAGGGTGGTGAATGTCCAGCAGCTGTAAACACAGTTGACGCATTTTCCGCGACTGCTGGTAAAGCAACGTTTACCACTCGACCTCGGGCCCAATATTCCCGGATTTGTGTAATGATTCGCTTGGCAAGGTGTGGGGTAGTGGGAGTGCTCATAACCTCCAGCCGTGGTCTCAAGTCGTGTCCATATGACATCCAAGATATAGTGGATGATTTCGTCCGATCGGTATAGGAAAATGAGTTGGAGCAGAGTTTCTGCCAGACTGAAGGTGTACACGTCTGAAGCATTTGATGTAGTGAAATCCAGTGTACCGATAAATTGGCACATACTGTGAGCCAGATCATCCATCAGACCGGTCAAATCCCCACATGCGCCTGGAGCTCTATCGGCCATGGGAGCTCTATGGGCCTCTCTGAAATCATTTCGCAGGTCATGCAGTATACGGCGTTCATAGCGTCTCGGTGGGTGGGAAATGGTTGACAGGTGGACGGGGATGAACCAGCTCGGTCTACTGGTCTTTGCATACATGCTTTCGAAAAGTAGTGGACATGCAGCTGACCCTCTTTGAGTCTGGACTTCCACACCTTCAGTCTTTCCCTTTGCACGTCTAACAGCTCCAGGAGATGTGGTATGTGGGCCTCGGACAAACCCTTTCCGCGCATTGGTCCAGTGTGTAGTCTCTTCCTAACATTATGCTAAAGAGATCGTGGGTGATGCTACAATCTCGCTTGAAGCTCGGATAGATCATAGCGACTTGCAACACAACGAAACACTATCAACCTTGTCCGGATTTCCATGCTCTTGATCAGGATGTCGTAGATCAGATCGTCCACACTCATTCCTCGGATACAGCTGAAATGCTACCTTACAAGAAATGCAGTGAATACCAAATGTGTATCATGGACCGGCCAGTCCATGGACATTATAGCACTAGTATATGTTATCCAACAAAAGACAAAGACTCATCACCTTCTGACAGATACCACTAGAAAGAAGGCTAGACCCTGTCGCAAGTCATTATTAGATAGTAAAGTAGCGTGGTCAATATAGATTAGGATACAAATTATGACTAGACCCATAATATACTTCAAGACTTCACATGGCAGGATACTCGTCCATGTACGCTATCAGAATGTCCTAATCTTGTAATCACCCTGAAAGCTGCCATCAAAGGTGACCTTCAGGTCGATACGAATCCACATTTCATTCCCATTTTTGAGGTACCACAGAAACTCACCCTTAAATTGGTATAGGTTAAGCTTGAGGCTGATGCCGTCATTTAAGTTGCCATTAATGATCCCGACATATAAGCCCCCGATTACGGGAGTACAAGTCATGTCAAAGGTATCCGTCCCAACGAATCCCTTGCACTAGAGAAAAGATGTTAGCAGCCGGCATTTTGGAAGATGCTGTTGGGCGTTGACTTGCAGAAATGGGGCCAAAGGACCAGTCGAATTCCACGGCGTCATCAGGGATGAGAGCTCGGCCGCTGCCTCAGTCTGTTCGACACGCCATTCACCATCACACTCTTGCGTCAAGTTGACCTAAGCAGCTGTAGTCCGTAATGGTTAGATTCGGTGCATGTAGAAAGTTGATCATCAAAATGCTTGCATACCATCAATGTTGAATGTCTCACCCATTTTGCTGGTTGGAGCAGTCCCGCGATGACAATTGAAGCAGTATCTGAGCGTTCTCCTGTGTGCGAGTCATCAGGGAGACTTAAGTTCTACAGAGGGGTCTTGTACGATTTATAGCTCGAGATCATGTACGCCTCAACCCACCATATCCCTTTCTACTGCCAAGGTTCATATACGAAGAGCAGGAACTATTCGAAGTGGATAACACTGCAATCCTCACTGGCAACATCTTTGCAGATCGTTCCGCCAGCCACCTTAATGGCCCACGATGTAGTGTCCGTGATGATAACTATTTCGCCAATAAGTAGCAGCCAAGCCGGGCCTGCAGCTCAGCTGGTGAAAAGGATCCCTAGCCCCGCACGTTCGAGTGCACGATCGTCAAAACCCGTGGTTATTGGCTAGATCGCAAGGCACATATCGGAGATTGGGCTTCGTCGGGCATGTTGATAGAGAGGGTTGGCGTTATTTGACAGGTTTAGAATGCATACATCACAAATGAACTACCAAAAGGGACCTTGATAGGATTGCCTATGAAGCTTATATATACTACCTTAGAAATAGAATGGCTTGTATCAAATTTAGTAGTGTCCCTAGCATCCAGGATAGTGGGCAGCTTGCAATGGGAAGGAAAACAGTGTCTTGCACTCTCTGTGAGGGCCATAAAGAAGTGCTTGTCTCGGACGTTGTTGTCAGCGGACTAGAGCTTCTGCCCGATAAGCCTACTTGTTCAGCTTGCCTTCTGCCACACGTTACTCTACCCTTCTCCAGGGTCATGACAGACGAGGTTGTTCTTTGTCATGAGATGGGAAAGGGACGGGCTTCAAACCAATTTCCTCGAACATGTCATTCAAAATTACAGGAGCTTAGACAAAGCGTCACTGATATAACTGATGAACATCTCCTTCTTTGTTATGAGCCCCTTAAACCTCAACTGGCTTGATAGCACTGCGAATTGGTCATGAAGCTACACAGTGCAGTGGAGGAAGGCATGAGAGCGCAGTTGCATTAGTATATTCTAGGCACATTTGAACAGGCTGATCCCAATCATCGTTCGGTCTTCAGTTTACCCTGCTACCGCAATTCTTGAAGATGGTGTACATATTTCGAACCACCACTGATGACAACATTTACGGCAGCCCGGGAGTTGTTTTCGCGAAGAAAAGGGAGGTGTCGCGTGTATCGCATCAAGTCAAGAGGTAGGACGCTTTTTTTGATCGTGATATAGTAGCACTTATCTGCGCCAGCTGGCGTTATGAAGCCGTTGATCCTTGCAAGTATATTCAGTGTGGTCGAGTTGATTGGGTACGATTTTTGGATCCGCAGTGCATGCCTTCTGGGGCCTCTGGCCGAAGGTACTGTCCGAAGATGTCTATTTTTGTCGACAGTCGAATCTCACTTGGTAGTTGCCATTCGCCGTTTTGACATGAGCAATCATGGTTTGGAAACAATGTGGAGAGATGCAAGCAAAAAAAGTCGCCGTCAGTAACAACCTCCGAAGCCATTCCAATCGAGCAGCTCTGGCCCACCGATGAGTGGGAGCATCCAGTATAAAAATATCAGATTGATGCCAACAACCTGGGAACAAGTGCAACTCGGTCGACACCCCATCTCCCACATAATGGTCGCAGATCGGGGAACGCATTGCGAGAGATATGGTAAAGGAGATAGCAGTATTCTGTCTGTGAATTTAAAAGAGATATAGAGTTGCTTGTGTCATATGACAATGCAATGTTATTGCAGAGTAGAATCTCCATCATGGTACAATATATGTAGAGGCTACCCTCGTAAGCTGTGTTGGCCACATTTCTTCTGCTCGTTACAAATTCTCAAAGTCTCGTCAATTCATCGTGTGAAATATGTCCGACATGTTCACGACAATGAGACATTGAAAGATTACTATAGATTTTGTACGCGATGCGAGTCTCCGGTGATGAGGCAGGCCCTCTTTCCGGATAATAATAATCTGCTATAGTCATACCATTTAGAAAGATTCTATTTCCTCTAGCGTTAGGGCAAATAGAACTACTAGTCATGTATCTAGCCCTAGTTCTGGCTAGCATACAGGATGGTAGATTGATAGATGGTCCGTTCCGTCGCCTTGTCTCTCCACTTATCGTGACTCATAGTCAATCGGGACAATCTATTTTTTTTTAAAAAAAATAATACTCTCTTCCTGGTTTCCATGCTTCTGTCCTCCACAATATTGGTTCGTCATGGATTATCTAAAACAGGTCTTTGCCCAGTGCCACCGGGAAGGCCGTCCAGCGCTGGTCACGTACGTGACGGCCGGATTCCCCACGGCGAAGGAAACCCCGGACATCATGCTGGGCATGCAGGCCGGAGGAGCAGGTGAGTCATGTAATCTGCAGCTTTGAATTGATTCTGAGATAACTGCACAGATATTCTTGAACTGGGTCTCCCCTTTACCGATCCTATCGCAGACGGTCCGACCATCCAAAAGTCGAATTTGAAGGCTCTCGAAAATGGGGTCACAATCACCTCGATGTTGGAGATGGTTAGGACTGCGCGGAGAAAAGGGTTAAAGGCTCCGGTGCTGTTTATGGGGTACTATAATCCTATACTGCAGTATGGAGAGTCGAAGCTTTTGGCAGATTGCGTCGACGCCGGGGTCAATGGTTTCATTATTGTTGATCTGCCCCCGGAAGAAGCGGTTCGATTTCGAAATGGCTGCATGAAGACGGGGTATGATCACATACCTTTTGGTCAGACTCAATTGACAAATGGACAGACTCTCATACGTCCCTTTGATCGCACCTTCCACCACCGAAGACCGCATGAAGGTCCTCTGCAACATGGCCGATTCTTTTATCTATCTTGTCTCCCGCATGGGTGTCACCGGCGCCACTGGGACCCTCAACGCAGACCTTCCCGCCCTCATCCGGCGCGTCAAGGAGCTCTCTGGCAATATCCCCGTGGCCGTTGGGTTTGGAATCAGCACTCGCGAGCATTTCCTGAGCGTGACCTCCATCGCCGACGGTGCCGTCATCGGCAGCCAGGTGATTACGATCCTCGATAACGCCCCTGCCGGACAGGCCGCCCGGGTGGTCGAGGACTATTGCTCGCAGATTACACAAAGAAAGGTTACCAGTGCACCTGGTGCGGCAATGGAGACGAACGTGGTCATCCAGCCTGTTGTCGATGGAGAGGCGGCTGTGACTGACGGATCAGGGCGGTTCGGTGTCTTCGGCGGCCAATACGCCCCAGAGGCACTGACCACCTGCCTGGCCGAACTTGAAGCCGGTTTCGAGGCCGCTAGGAATGATCCGGCCTTCTGGGAGGAGTATGAATCGTACTATCCGTACATGGGTCGTCCCTCCAGCCTACACCTGGCTCCGCGACTGTCCGAACACGCCGGCGGCGCGAATATCTGGCTGAAGCGGGAGGACCTCAACCACACGGGATCCCACAAGATCAACAACGCGCTGGGCCAGATCCTGATTGCGCGTCGGTTGGGTAAGACGGAGATCATCGCCGAGACCGGCGCAGGCCAGCACGGGGTCGCAACTGCCACTGTCTGTGCGAAATTCGGCATGAAGTGCACCGTCTACATGGGTGCTGAGGATGTCCGTCGCCAGGCGTTGAACGTGTTCCGGATTCGCTTGTTGGGGGCTACGGTTGTCCCAGTTGAATCGGGGTCGCGCACGCTCCGAGATGCGGTGAATGAAGCCTTTCGTGCGTGGATTGCGCGCCTGGAGACCACGCATTATATTATCGGATCCGCGATCGGACCCCATCCCTTTCCGACCATGGTTCGCACGTTCCAGAGCGTGATAGGCGAGGAGACCAAGGTTCAGCTGCGAGGCCTGGGCAAGTCCCCGGATGCAGTGGTCGCCTGTGTTGGGGGCGGCTCTAACGCTGTCGGCATGTTCTATCCATTCTCACAGGACGGCTCCGTCCAGCTGGTTGGGGTGGAAGCCGCAGGTGATGGCTTGGACACAGAACGGCATTCGGCTACCTTGGGTCGAGGCTCGATCGGGGTTCTTCATGGCGTTCGGACCTATGTCCTGCAGAACCAGCATGGACAGATCTCCGACACTCACTCAGTCTCTGCGGGACTGGATTACCCCGGTGTTGGGCCGGAACTAGCGCACTGGAACGAGAGCAACCGGGCGACATTTCTTTCGGCTACTGATGCCCAGGCCATGCAGGGATTCCGCCTGCTGAGCCAGCTGGAAGGCATCATTCCCGCTTTGGAGACCTCCCACGCGGTCTGGGGGGCAGTCAAGGTAGCCAAGCAGCTGGGACCGGGAAGGGATCTTGTGTTATGCTTGAGTGGCCGTGGTGACAAAGACGTGCAGACCGTGATCGATGAGTTGCCCAAGATAGGACCCCAGATTGGATGGGACTTGCGATTTTAAAGGTTAGAAGCATGTTGCGTATGCTTTAGAGATAGTGGGACAGATCATTTGATAGATTAAAAAGTATGCTATTGCAACAGGAAATGAGAAACAGCGTCCATGAGAGTAGACCAGTCAGAATCAAAGCCAAAGGAGAAGGCGATTAGAAAGACTATTCACAGAACAACTGTCCAAATTGTGGCCTCAGGCGACGATAGAAAAGCGCTGGAGCTCATCAAGCCGCTAGTCCGTATCTGGTGATCACGTGCTTCACCCCTTCCATGTCGTATGCGGCATGCCAGGCAGCCAGGCATCGATGGGCAGCAACCTGAAGGAAGTGTCCTTCAAATGACATGATTGAGGACTGGAATTATTCAAGTGAATGAGTAAGGTCAATGTCCTCATACACATAGTACAACATGAGTGAGATCTGGTATGTTTGCAATGTATTGTGCAATATTACCCTTTTGAGACTAGCGGTGTTCCCAGTCTCGACTCTCGACCCATCTGACAGGTTGAGTGAGGTAATGATGATTGAAGACCACCCTGCATTGACTGGTTCAATGACTGGTAAATGCCTTGTATTCTAGTTGAGCAATGTGATGTGTCGACTCGTCTCCTCATTGACCAATTCTATGGCGTCAGGGAGCAAGCTTCAGCAAGCTCAATGGATGAATGAGGTATGGTCGGATGCTGTCATAGTGAGGTTTACATCTCTGAAACATGCAATCTCTGGTCAAGCAACAAGGCAATCGGCACTAATACGTACCCCAGAGCCCACTAACTTTCTTGTTATACGGTCTATGGGCCCAGGCCCGCGGATCTTTCATCAGTCATCATCAATGATACCTCGGAGGCTAAGGTAAATGCAAGGAAGCTGGATTCTAACAGGTTAAGCATCTCAGCAATTCCCTGCCATCTCAATAGTACCTCCTTAATGGCTGCTATCGGATATCCCAACACAATTGGCCCCACAGATGATGTCGACTGACCTCACCTCCAGAATCCTGAGAGAAGTCACTCAAAGTGCATCAGAGTGGATACAACGGGTCGATCAACGTCTCCCCACGGGAAATACCGACTGCATCAGTGACAGACCACCGGCTACATCATCATGTAGTCAGCTCGCTCTCTCAAGCATAAATACCTGCCTTTCCCTCGCCCTGATCCATCCAAATCATCAGATCAAATCCAGAACAATCAAGCATCTATTGAACTACACTCAAAGCTCAAATCAATCCACTACTTCAATCACTTCAACAACTACCAACAAAATGTCCTCCAACCAGAACCCCGGAAACTTCGCCAACCGCCCCCACGAGGAGGTCGAGAACATTGCTCGCAAGGGAGGCCAGGCCAGCCACCAGGGTGGTTTCGCCAGCATGGACCCCCAGAAGCAGGTACGTCTTCGCAACACTCTTTGGCACTTTGACATTCCCAACTGACGTCTTACAGAGAGACATCGCTTCCAAGGGTGGCCAGGCCTCCAGCGGTAGCTTCCAGCCCGGTGACGAGCGTGCCCGTGAGGCTGGTCGCAAGGGTGGCCGCGCCACCGGTGGTGCCGATCAGCCCGAGGAATAAACCGGACAATATGACTTGACGACCTTGAGTGATGATAATGATGTACTCGCTGGCAGTGCCACTTGTACTATACTTGAATGAAACAATGAAATTTCACTGATATATTCAACACTTTAGTACTTCAGGATGTATTCAGGATGTAGTATCGCATGATCCGATAAGATGTAGACATTCTGTAGTATTGATTCAACCCTTTTTGAGACGATCTCTTGTTATAATGCTACGGACCTATTTGGTCCATAATTCAGTAGCAGAGGGATGGTTTGTCAAACGAGGTTAGACTGCAGGTGCTGCAAAACAAATGTGCTGGTCATAGTTCGACAATAGAACATTTATGTACCTGATTGAAATCCGAACGGACCCTACAAGCCGTTCCAGATCTCGGCCTTTTCCCGTGGACCTACAAGAGTGGCAGGCGTGACTTGACCCATCATGGTGCTTGATTACACGCATTGCGAACTATAGCTGACCAGAACCTTGGTAATCTCGTTTACAGTCATGACTCCCCATGAGTTGGCTGGCGATGAGCAATGGCCATAGAATATGCAAGTCTGTTAGAGACTCCTGATACGGCTTTAATCACAGTTCAACTACTGTCACAACTCTCACTGGAGGAATCTTGTGCTTGTGGAAGAGTGCGGAGGACTCGGATGAGGATCGGTAAATCGAGAATGGGATGCTTTAAGTTTGTTTGTATTGAGTATATGATGCTGGCTAGTTTTCAAGATCAAATCGAGGTTGGTAGGATAATCTAGTTTTTGAATATCTGCAAAGCATGCTCTGTTCAACATAATGTTATCCTTAGGTTGCACACCCATGCCACAAAGACCGGCCGATGATCGACAGCTGACCAGTGCGTTATCACAGCTGACAACCATCGTGAATAGGCAATTCAATTAGCTGGATGGGATGGTCTACATCAAGGCATTATCGGACAGGCCGAGTTACTGGGGTCGTTTTGTGGGCCAGATTAAAGGGTTAGTAGGAGAGGGAAAGGAACCCAAGATCAGTTCGGTTCAACACTGTATCTTCCTGGCATTCTCAGGATATTGTTGGGGAGAACTGCTCCATCAGGTAGTAGACACCAGTGGTCTTTCTGGCCTCTGTCATTCATTCTTTCGGACTACCTTATCGGACTCCGATTCTGAAGCTTCTCCAGGTGGATCAATATCACATGTTCCCTTCTGAGTTAGAGGTGAGATCGGTGTTGAATCGATCGTTACTTACTCGACTGATGAGTTGGAGTATGTAGGTGAAGTGATCAACATATGATGGACGATACTGATAACAACCTGTCCGATATACCCAATACCGACCCCAACTCCCAGCTAGAGTGTTCACTGGCTTGATAACAGCTACTCCAACTGCTATCTGACCCTGAATCCTTGGAGATAAGTTAACAACCGTTCTGTGGCTATTATCTCTTATCACCTACTGGTATACTCCAAAGATAAGCATGTGGGGTCATGTAGATCACTTCTTGATGCCACCTTACAATCTATATAACAGCAGAGACGCCTCGTTTCTCTAGAGGGTGAGACACAACATGGCCCACTCTAACGATCTACAGATCCTCCCCCCCAGTGCCGGCTATGGCATCGTCATCGGCATCGGGGGCATCTTCGCCCTCTTCATGCTGGGCCTCACCTGGCTCCAAAACCGCTACACAACCTTCTCCACCCAGCAAGCCGAAGAATTCAACACGGCTTCCCGATCCGTCAAGCCCGGGCTCATCTCCGCCGGCATTGTTTCGTCGTGGACCTGGTCCGCCACGCTCCTGACAAGCTCCACCTTCGCATATAGCTACGGCGTCTGCGGTCCAATGTGGTACGCCGCCATGGGCACCCTGCAGATCCTCCTCTTCGGGCTTATTGCGATTAAGATCAAAGCCCACGCGCCAGGCGCACACACCATGCCGGAGATCGTGCGCGCCCGGCACGGGACAGTCGCGCACCTGACGTACCTGTACAACGGGCTCGCGACGAACATGCTCGTCGGCGCGTGTCTGGTCCTCGGCGGGGCGCAGGTCGTCGCCGCGCTGACGGGGATGAATGTCTATGCGGCGACGTTTCTGATTCCGGCGGTTGTGGCGGCGTATGTGATTGCTGGCGGGCTGCGATCGACCTTCATCGCGGATTATACGCACACGGTTATCCTGTTTGTGGCGATTCTGGTGTTTGGGTTTCTGGTTGCGGCGCGGAGTGAGTTGATAGGTAGTCCGGGGAGACTGTATGACTTGCTGCAGGAGGCGTCGAGGGAGATGCCGATCGCGCGGAATACCGACGGGTCGTATCTGGCTTTTCGGTCGGTTGGCGGTTTGGTCTTTGCGATTGATATTTTTGTCTCGGGTTTCACGACGGTATGGTTGGATCAGGCGTATTGGCAGCGGGCGATTGCCTCGCGGCCGGAGACTTCGGTCAAGGCGTATCTCCTGGGTGGGATCGCGTGGTATGGTAGGTTATCTCTCCTCGTTTGTGATGCTGGTGTCTGACGTCCGCAGGAATCCCGTTTGGCTTTGCAACAGCCATGGGTCTCGGGTGCGCAGCCCTGACCAACAATCCGGCCTTTCCTACATATCCCCATCCACTATCGTCCGACCAGGTTGCAGCCGGACTCTCTGCCCCGGCTACAGCTATAACGCTCCTCGGCAAGGGAGGCGCAGTCCTCATGCTCATTCTCCTCTTCATGGCCGTCACGAGCTCCACCTCCGCTGAACTCATCGCCGTCTCGTCGCTTCTAACCTTTGACGTCTACAAAACCTATTTCCGCCCGCACACCGACTCGGCTTCCCTGGTACGGGTTAGTCACTGGGCCATCGCGCTGTACGCGCTGGTTCTGTCTGCCTTCTGCAGCATTCTCAACGCAGTAGGCCTGAGTCTCACCTGGGTCCTTACCGTGCTGGGTGTCATCGTCGGTGGGGCCGCGGTACCCGTCGGGCTGATTCTGCTCTGGAGACGGATGTCCACAGTTGCTGCGATCGTGGCGCCGTGGCTCGGTTTTGTTTGTGGCATTGTGGTTTGGTTCGTTACCTCGATGAAACGGTCTGGGGCGATTAACGTCGAGACAACCGGGGATGGGACCAATGCCGTTGCGGGGAATCTTGCTTCGTTTGGGGTTGGTATCGTCTCTGCTGTGCTTCTGAGCTATCTTTTCCCGGAGAAGTATCCGTGTGTAGATGCTCAGGTTGCGCCGGGAATTGAGGGTGTTGCTCCGACGCCTCAGGAGGACACAGTGCAGCCACCGAAAGCTGCCGATGGTTATGAAAAAGAGACGTCAGCGCCGGCAAAGAATGAGATTGTCGAGTTCCTCCAAGACAGGCAGATCGAGCCTATGGATCCAATGCTGGTCCACAAGGCCGAACGGTTGGCGCAGGGGGCGAGTATCGTCTTTATCCTCATCGCCGTGATCCTCGTGCCGTTCACTCTCTTCGGAACCAGCTACGTGTACAGCAAGCCATTCTTCACCGGCTGGGTAGTCGTCTCGCTGATCTGGATCTGGGCCAGTGTCATCATCTGCGTAGTATACCCCGTCGTCGAGAGTGCCGGCGCGCTGGGAGACATTTCTAGAGGACTATGGATGGACATCAAGGCGTTGACGGGAGTGAAAAAGAAGAGTTTGCAGACCAACACCGTCTAATTATATCTAGTTAGTTTAAAATCAGCACTTTTATTCTCCAGCCAAAAAGCAAACCACGGCCAACGCAAATGCCCCTGAATCATCCTGTCTCCCATCGTAATCGCATCCCACCTGCTCCAAGAACAACCCCAGTTTCGAGTCCGTCCAGCCCAGCAACGGCGCAAACTCAAGACACATACTTTGCATCCCGCACGCGTCGAGCTCGTAGTGTCCTTGCACAGAAAGTACACGGCCGTGGTAATACATTCCCTGGATCGGACAGATAGGCGTGCTCCCGATATTCACCCACGGCGCGGGGAGCGATACCGCGGCTGTCTCCGGCAACACGCCCTCGTTCCCCCCTTTCACCATCACCCGATCGCCGTGGAACATCTGAATCTTCAATTGTCCGTCCGGCAGATTGCCCAGCGCAAGCGGAAACGCATCGACGAAATCCCTATTCAGCTGAACAGTGTGGATCCCCACTTCCCTCCCCAGCGGACATTTCTCCACATACACGTCCCCCGCCCCGGAGTCGACCAACGCATGCCCGATCAGCTGGTGCCCGAAGCATGTCCCCATAATCCTCACGGCGGGATACTCCCGAAACACCGTCTGGAGGAACTTGGCCAGTTTCTGCATCCAGGGCCGCTTGTCGATCTCGTAGACGCCCGGCGCGCCTCCCGTGATCAAAATCGCATCGATACTGTGTTCGGATAACGGTGTCTGGGTTTTTCGTAGGTGTCTGAAGTCAGGATAGTGTCCCCCGCGGATATCGTACGGTGTCACTGCGATGCTGATATCGCTTCCTGGCGAGAGGGCGTTGAGGCGGGTAGCTGCGTCTTGAAGGGCATTGCGGAAATGGGCGCTGCAGAGGCCGTGGGTTTCGTAGAGGGTTCGAGGGGGGATGTCGACGTCAAGGACTGCGATGTGGATTGTTCGGGTCATTTTAGTTGTCTTGCTTGCTTTGCTGGGAGTCAAGAGACGATGCCCTCCATCTTCATATACTCTCTGCCGGGCAAAAATTCATACACTGCTGAAACTCTTACATAACATCTATTGGGTAATGAGACTACATCTTGGAGTAGAATATCCACTCGTCCCCAACAAGGTCGTAAAATATCCAGATGAGCAGGGCAATGGATGTATAATCCGATAGCTAAAAGTGAGCTTATTCTTTCTTCTCCAAGCGGATGAGTGATCTACGTTCTTCCCCGTGGGGCAGGCGGCCTTATTTTTACGTACAAAAAGTGTTAGGGTTAATTCTATTAGCAATAATATTATCAAATGGATTGGATTTTCTGTGTTGGTTCCGGGATGTTCCGATGTTTGCTTAGAGGATCTTCTTCTTTTTGTTCTTATAAACAGAAGTTGCTCCTTGTGGTTATGTTGAGTTGTTGGAGAAACTACGGCGGAGTTTGAGCGAGCGTTGGAGTATCGCATCATTCTGCCAAATTTCGCTATCACGAGGTCGTCTATCCGGAAGAATCCGAACGGGATCGTCTGTCTGGTTGCTAAGAACTTTCTGGCGCGTCATTGTCGATACAAGGATCGCGAATATATCAACATAGGCCGTAGTTCCTCCATGAGGACTACGCATAACCCGAAGTATATCCAGTTTTACCAGTTTACTCCGCAATGGCATATCGAGGACGGATAGTCCTCTGATTGAAATAGATTGAATTGAGGTAGACAGAGTTTCGCAACTCGTTCAGTGTTAGGCATAAATTCTTCGTAGGGCAACTGTACCTTAATATCACTCTGCCACCTGACAGTTTAAACATCCAATGTCCTATCTGTACACTGGACGATCCTGTACTCAGTGGCTCTGAAATTTCGGCCGACAGCCACGCTGACAGGAGAGCATTGTTGCTAAGGCCAAATGGCAGGGAAGTCCAACCATATAATACTGCCTCTAAGGAGCACAGATTTTAATAGCACTGATCATTTGGAGCATGTCATACTCTCCTTTGACCCGCCATGTGGAGCGGTCCTGGACCAGCTCCGTCGCATTATCCGGGGAAATCTCCACTCTCAGCAGCAATTGTGTCAAGCACCACTTGATCATGGTCCATCTTTCGATAGGACGTGTCTCCATAAATCGTCACTAACCGTACTGCATACCAGAATACTCCGGTTGGTGTTGACAATAGTTTGTGTACTGATATAGACGAGTCTTCTCATTCTGCGAATGAGTTCGAAGTATACCTCTGCTTCATGATTCAGACGAGACACAGAGGACACGGCCTTTGAACTCTACCAGGCCGTTCGATCTGAGAGCAAGCGACCAACATCCTACTGCCTGTCAAGCATGCAACACCTACGAGCCTTGTACTTCTTTTCATTCGGACAGCACTGGCTTGATCATTGTTAGCCATTGCTTCACTCCGTACTAGTTTGGGATAACCTTGCGAACCAAGTGGCTAGACCCCGTCGTTCGAGAGCTAATCGGCTGCATATACCCAAAGTATGATGTTAAAGCTAACCCCTGAGTCCATGCCTGAATCTACACTCAATATGATCCTATCACATGCGGTGCCTCTGCTTGATAGTGAGAGATTTTCTGTCCGTATATAGTGGAGCAGGCTGATGTGTACCTTCCTACGATTGGATATAACCACGATTAGAGTGGATTCGCGAATGTTCTCCCGTTGGACGGTGCAGCTTGTGGCTGCAGGTCATATTTCAACTCTGCCAGCTAATTGGCTGGAAAGATCTTAAGTTTAACTTTGTAACAAGCTCACCGGAGACGAGTCGGGGTGACCCCGGAACATGCAGCCAATCATTTCACTGCCCTCGTTCCCGATTTGGCGTTAGATGGAATGGCTATAATTAACCCGAGGCTGTTAGACTGGAGCCACGGTTACATTCCAACGTTTTGAGGCTGATTGGGCGGATGCGGCGAGTTGTCAGTGTCATGTTGATAGGGACACAGACTTTGCCGAGACAGACGTTGGTAGGTCTTTGGCAGGTGATAGACACTGGACTTGGTTGGATGAGGTGATGGTCGTGGAAGCTGCTCCTATCGGGCTGTGCCTTTTATCATGGCCCAATTATACAATCTCATTTTTAAGCCGATAAGCTGAAGTGGATCCAGAATCAGTCCGGCCCCGAGATCGGATCAATGCCTCAAAAGCCTGTCCTATGTATGCGTGTCAGATTGCCTGTTTGCTTACTGTCCAGGCTTTTTGGCTATTAACCACGCGATCAAACATGGAAGCCTGCTCGTGCATCGATCCAGGGACGCAAAAGTCAAACAAAACAGGAGAGGAGGCCGTCGATCACAGCCCTGTGGTCGAATAAATCATGAGGGCCATAGCCCCAAGGCTAGTAGAGTTAAAGCTTGTGGAAATTGTTCGCCCGGTCAAACGAGCCTCGAATGATACGGCGATATTAAGGAAGCAATAAGCGAGGGTCTTATCTTCCCCTCGGTAGCTCCAACTTTGTCGCATGAACCCTGCTAGTGCAAAGCCTCTTTGCTCTTGTCTGCCCTGTCCATAAAACGATGAAAACACGGCCCTTGTCATAAGCGACCCGGGGTAGGAGGGATCGTTTGCCTTATATCCCCAGCCATCTTAATATCTTTCTTTCCTGTCGTTCATGTACCAACAACACCCTCCTCCACAGCTGGCGGAACCATGACCCAATGGCCATCATCCGCAGCACCAATATAGATCCTAACCTAGCCGAAGACTTCGCCATTGCCTGCTTCATCGCCGTCTCGTGGTACAATGCCGTCGAACTCATCGTCCTGTGCTTCACCACCTTCAAGAAACGCGGCGGCTTCTACTTCTGGGCCCTCCTCGTCTCCTCGATCGGCATCCTCCCCTTCGGTCTCGGCTACATCCTCCTCATCTTCGACATCTATCCGGGCTACTTCTCCGTCTCGCTCGCAGACATAGGATGGTGCGCCATGGTAACGGGCCAGTCCCTGGTCCTCTGGTCCCGACTCCATCTGGTCGTATACTCCCGCTTAATCCTGCGCGCCTCGCTCGCCATGATCATCATCGACGGAGTCATCCTGCACACCATCGGCTGGGTCTTCGAGATGGGCACGCAGTCCCCTCGCTCCGGATGGTTCACGCCAGCATTTAGTATCTTCGAGCGCGTCCAGCTCATCGGCTTCTCCATCCAGGAAATCATCCTCTCCATCATCTACACCAAGGCCTCGCTTCAACTCCTCAGACTCCGCCCAAGACGGCAGTACCGCTCCACGCTCGTCCAGCTGGTCATCGTCAACGTCCTCTTCATCCTCATGGACGCCGCCATCGTCAGCTTCCAGTACGCGGGGCTCTTCCACGTCCATGTATCCTTCAAAGCAATGGTGTACAGCGTCAAGCTGAAGCTCGAGTACGCGATCCTAGGGAAACTGGTGCACATGTCGAAAATGTCGCATTCGAACTCTGCGCCGACGGATCGGTCCGAGGCGGTGGAGATGTCGTCGCGGAGGACGAATAATCGGTCGCATCTGGAGCAGACGAGGGAGCATCGCGAGAGTCAGACGAGTATTATCCGCGATGGAGCGGGGTTCGATGGTGAGGATCTGGCGGATTGTTTGCGGACAGGCTCGTTGAAGGGGTCGTTTCCGTCTAGCAAAGAGCCGGAGGCTGCGTGTGTTGAGGTTGGTCATAGGTTGTGAACCCAGTAAGGGTTGATGAATGATGTATATATGGGGAGCAAGACTCGGCCTTACTTGGTCATATTTCTTTTGTATATATGCTGGGACTAATGATATTTAGTCTACTACTAAATATGAAGCCACGATGGTAGTGAGCAAATCTCGGTGATCGCTGACTTGGAGCCGCATATATATATGCATTATATGTCCACTAAGATAAATATAAATTATTGCTAAAATATATCATTGTTTCTTCTACCTGCCACAATCTTTATGACAATATTCAAGAGACCATCATGAAGAGCTTCTCTGAGAACAACCAACAAGGTCGCTGAACACACTATACAAGAAGTGATACTTGATACTCAAGTGAGCAAGCTTACAGGAGATTAATAGCGGCACATAATTTCTGGAAGGAGGAGGCGTAGCCATCCTGCCCTATGGTATATGAAGAAGGGAAATGCTAATGTGATGTCTGTTCTAATAGGCAACATCTAGGTGTACTGACCTAAGGAAAGGAAGAAGGAAGGAGCCTGTACGTCATGTTGTATATCTGCTACTATATTATCATCTCTTAGGGGGAGTTCCATCACTGCGCCTCATTGTTTGCCTCCGCTGCCTTCCAGCGTGTATATTATGTCAAAGAGGTTACATATGAAAACTAGAGCAACAAGGAATTGCTGCTCGTCACAGCGTCTACTGCGAGCCGGCAATGACTCAAAAAATGCCGTTGACCAAAGGAGAACCTGAATAGGAAAATGACCCCTGGACACCCTTCGGCCTCGTCGTTTGGCGGTCAGCGTCTACATTAGACATGTCACTGCACGACGTAGTGCAGGCATAGTTGGCTCATGATTTTATTGGTCAGTAACACAGGGATAGTCTTGAGGGGTCAAAGACTCAGCCTCGCCTGTCTCTGGTCAGCCTTGCGGATCCGTGAGAACGGATAAACCATCATGTCGCCTCCAACTCGAAATGCCAGCAAATCTTCAAACCCATCGGCTGGCCATCAGCAAACGGGAATGTCCCAAGTTTGTTTAAAATACTCACAGTGATAAGGGTGAAGAACAACGGCATGACTTCACCATGGAAAACCCAATAGCAAACGCCTCGAAGCTCAAGCCTGAGATACGCCTTGTGCAAGCGCTAGCCGGCTTCAAAGCAGTACTGTCAACCGATCGGAGAGCAAGATCCGACGAATCCATCGCAGCGTTCAAAGACCATCCCCCGGATGCGAACGATGTCAATCGCCTGACCGCTGAAATCAACCGTGACATCCAACAGACAACGAGGCGATGTTATGGACCGCGTTTTGTGCACGTCTTACAAGCTGTGCAACAGTACGCCTCCATAGGCGACGTCTTTATAGGAGGATCACAGAATCTGATTGCTTCGGGAGTCTGGGCGGCAGTGAGGCTGACTTTGACGGTCTTGATACCTCTATTGCCAAACGGTGCGGGATAACTGACTGTGTCTAGATGTTGACTCAAAGCGCTTCTTACCTGGAGAAAATGTCAATGCTGTTTATGAACGCAGGCAGAAGTGCTCCCCGATATCAGGACATGGCCTTGCTTTACCCTCGCTCGAAGCGACTGCGGCATGCACTATGCGAGTATTTTATTGTTATTTTGAATATTTGCAAGCACGCTGTGAAATTTCTGCAAAAGTCCGCATTATCGCAGTTCTCATCGGCTATATCGGACTCTTGTTTGGCGTCTTTCGAGAAGGACCTTCAACAGTGGTCAGTTGTCATTGTGGAAGAAGTTACTTTACTGTCAAGTCAAAGCCTCCAAGAGGAAGCGAGGGAGAATTCTCGATTTCGGCAGATCATGGTTAAATTCTCTGATTCCCGGAACCGGTGCCAGCAATTGGCTCTCAGAATCCGGCTACTTGACGCTTGTTCCACATACGACTACCAGACGTCTTGGAAGCAGGCTCGAAAACAGGGAACAACAACCTGGTTCGCCAGCACTTTTGAGTACCAAAGATGGAAGGGAACGCCTTCTTCATGCTCCCTACTGTGCACCGGCAAACTGGGGTCGGGCAAGACAACCTTGCTGGCAAACATGGTTGATGACTTGTTTTGTTCTGCTTCGAAGGGGTCAGTTGCGTACTTTTTCTGCCGATTCGATGTCTCTGACTCGTTGACTGCGAGGACCATCATCGGATGTCTTGCGCGACAACTCTTAGGGCAACAGCCTATTGACCTGACGAGAATCGATTCACTTGCAGATCCAGACGAGCAAGTGATTGTCAAGTTTGTACGAGAACTGCTTCCTGTGGATCTGACTTACAGTTTGATTGTGGATGAACTTGATGAGTGCCCGGAAAAAGAGCGACAGATAACGTTAGAGATACTGCAGCAGTTGCAAAAGGACTTCAAAATTCGTATGTGCCTGTCATTCAGACAGGACGCGGGGGGTCATGCCAAAGTCGCAGCTGGCATTCTTAATGAAAAGTGGACACTGTCTATCCCCGAGAACAACTCCGACATCGATGCTTATATCGACGCCGAGCTACGTGAGCGTCTCGAGTCGGACAGGTTGTGTATCGGAGATCCAGCTATCATCCTGTCGATCCAACATGCCCTTGTCACTGGGGCCCAAGGAATGTATGTATTCTCCCTACACCGCTTCCTCAACTGGCTGCAATCAATGACTACGTGGTCTGACAAGTTAGGTTTCTCTGGGCCACACTGCTACTCGACTGCATTTGCATGGAGCAGACAGATGAGGCAATTCTCCGGGCCCTTGAGAGCCTTCCTCAAAGCCTTTCAGAAACATTCAGGCGAGTTCTACAGCAAGCTGGTGCCTCAAACATCCAGCATCGCCGCAGGATTGTGCGGTTGGTTATGGCTGCGCGACGGCCCCTATCAGTGGGGGAATTATGTGAGGCTCTCAGTGTCATTCCCGGTGACACGGCATGGGAGCCTGCACGACAAATTAATAATATTCATGCGGCCCTTGCAAGTTGCAAATGCTTGATCATTATAGACGAAGAAGAGCAGACGGTTAGATTTGCCCACCATAGTGTCAAGCAGTTCTTTATTGCTCGGGGCGATGAACCAGAAAATCCGAATCCCATAAATCCGGACGAAACAAATAAAGAAATGGGTCGGGTCATTCTAACGTACCTCAACTACGGGATTTTCGACGATCAAGTATCTCGCACAGTCTTTCCAACAATTTCTGCTGTGGATGCCCCAGCTCGAATCGTGAGCAGCGTCTTCGGAGATTCCGTCAACACAAAAAGAGTCGCTCTGGAACTGCTCAAGCCACTAAAAAATGGCAAATGCGACATAGGCCAAACTTTGGCCGAGACGGCCATGGCACAGCGCAGATCTCTAGCGGAGAGCCATCCCTTTTTGGCTTATGCCAAGGACTATTATAGGTATCATATTCTAGGGGTCTGGAACTGTGAGTGGGAAATGGGACAGCTGTGGCAGGGCCTCTTGGAGAGAAAGTCTGTTGATGTAAGTATAGCTTCAGTTCAACTTCCTGAGCGGACACACTGACAAGAGCCAGTTGCGGATTACCGATTGGCTGCAATATGAGTTGCAGCATCGGCGAGTGACCGGCCTTGATGGAGAGTTCGTTCCTTATGATGTTCTGAGCCAGCTGGTCACATATCATGTTATCCGCAAGGTCCTTGAGGAAACTGGGTTTTCCGGATACGGCACATCGACACTCGCGCATGATATCCTCACAGACCGCCAGCGATGGTTTGCGATTCTTGTTGATATAGGGATCAATCATTATATTGGGGCCCACTTTCAGTCGTCGATGATTCAGTCTCCGATAACAGACCGCGATCTCCCCATTTCGTGTGTGCAATTCCTTGAGAAATACAAGTCGAAAATCTCTCAGACCACTGGATTACGCACCGTTCAATCCTGGTCTAACAAGCCGAGCAGCTCACGATTTGTCGGTCCGATGGGGACCGATAGATGGGAGGAATTGGCTGAGTTGTTCTGCCTCCGACAGCACCAGTACCTTGTCCCTATACTCCAAGAAGGTCAACAATATAACTCGGAGGACGAGATCATGCCGTTCTTGCCTGTTGGAAACGCGTTCTATAATCACGACTATGGATTTCTATTTGTTCAAGTTCACCCTGCACATCATGACTTTCCTCCAGCTTATCGCGGTAGGGAAGACGTTGATGGTCCTTACCTGGTCGCGCTTTGGCCCTTGCTTAGGACCATGCACATGGATGAGCCTCCGCCTCTTTTGTTGTCTTATGGACGCTCTTGGGATGTCCCACGGCATCTGCTCCAAGCGGTTGCATCATATCGTCCGCGGCGACAGAGCGGAATATCCCATTCCGAGACGATCCGTCTGATTTTCCCCGTCCTTGGCCCGAGCCTCGACGACGCTTGGCGGCAAAGCTTGGCTACGGATACGCACTCGTCTCGACGGTTTCTGAGATTCTGCCTGTCACAAATGACCGGTATCGCCGAGGCTCTTGTCTTCGTCATTCAAAACGATCCAAAAGAGCGGTACATCTCACTAAGCAAGATTACGCCACGCAGCATTCAATGGTGCAAGCACTCACGCTCCATATTCCAACGGGGAACTCTGCGGTTGGATCTACGGACCCTGATAGCTGATCCAAGTCAAGGCCCCGCTCGGCAATTTGAAGAGGCGTATCGTGCCCCATATGAGTCCAAGGGGAAGGATGGATTGGAATATGACTGTGTCTGGAGGCTGGGATGCATATATTTTGAATTCCTTATTTGGGCTGTGATGGGATCGACAAGTCTTCAAGAATTCCGCGAGGCTAGAGGAGGGGCGAATGCTCCGTTCTATTTACAAACGTACTCTGACCATCACCAAGGGTCCGAATTGTCCTCCGAGGTTCGCCGCTGGGCGGACATGCTGCTCAATGAGCCCGAGCTTCCGCTGGAGGTTCGTCGATTTTGCGAAAAATTGCTACGGTGTGTGCTTGTAGTGGACCCGTCAGCCAGGGTATCGGCCCGCCAGTTCGCTTCTAATATGAAAAACCTTCAGAAGCTGCAAACTATTAGCAACTTGGACTGGAACTGGTAACAATTATGGGATGAACGACGTAGGAGGTATTGTAAGATCGGCCACTAAGAGTCGATATCAACTGGCCAGATCAGCGTGAAGGGAGCAAGATAACCATAAATTGCCTCATCAAGGAGAATAATTGCTGAGTTGCGGAATACTCAGCCGATTGCGAAGATATCTACAGTGTGCTATGTGATCCAATAGGTCTAAGCCTTCCACACTATCGGCGTTGGCCACTATGGCGGAATCATGGTCCGCCGTAGTCTTATCAGGTTTATAGATCCGTTCTTGCTTGATCACTGACAGATGGAATTTTGGATACTGATAACTGAATGGCTGCAGCTATAATTGTGATGGAGAGTTGAAGATAGACGAAGAATCAGGCAGAAGCAGACTGTCCCGTCATATGCCCATCATGTGATGTGCGGTATATGTACTCGTACAATGAGCTATAAAGGGTTCAGATAACCACTTTTAGCTAGTAGAGATAAAAATTCCACTCGGCAACAGTATGGGAATGATTTTTCAAGAAGTAACCCCTAGACTACCTCTATATGCCACCATGGCACTGGCAATTCGGTGACTCCCACTTGTACCTGCTCCCATTCTGGCATGCTATCTATTTCCAGTCCCAACGATACTGCAAATTTGTCTTTGTCCACTCCTAGCTACCGCCTGTATAATGTAGCAGAGTCTACTACGACATATCTTCCCCGCCAGAAGTTACTGAACTTATCATCTCATGAAACAAGTATCTTTAAATAGTATAATATGTGGACCGGACTGTGTATCCTTCATTTAAACTAGATGGGTACAGTAAGATGACGGTGTTCATAGTAGCTTATGACTCTCCTTGGCTGATATGGGAATACACGCTGCTATCTCAAATCTTAAACTCAAACGCATACGCCGTGGTGGTGTCCGTCTGATAAACCGGGAACGTCACCGAGTCCCCCGAGTACGCATGTCCATACCAACCAAGATCCTTCGGCCCATCAACCCGGCCATAATGCACATTCGACGCAACAGGGAAGCCCCAGGTATGCACATTCAGCGTCCCACTAGTCGGCAACCCCAGCGCAGACAGCTTATTCAACTGCAACTGCCACGTTCCCTTCGCGATGCGCACACCAACCAGCACCCGCGCAACCCGATCATCCCCGACAGTCGCATACGCGTCGAGCTTGAGATCCGACGACGGAAGAGTACCCACCCGGTGGCCTGTCATGTTGAGATTATAGTACTTGTACACCTGGTAGTCGCCGTTGGGGAAGTACCCCGTCCCCTTGGGATCGTAGTTGCTGTTATCCGCGTTGGGCTTGCTCAGCAGACTCGCGAGCAAATCATGCAGCTTCCACCCGCTCAGCCAGTTGCCGCGCAGGCCGACCGCGTTGATCCGCTCCAGTTGGCCGATCCACCATGCCGAGCCGGCGGGGACCTCCTCGTCGAGTACGGCGTACTCGTTGATGTTGATGGGGCGCCCGGGCAGCCCGTAGGTCTTCTGCCAGTAGACTAGCCCCGCCTGCGCGGAGAGCAAATCGCCGCCGCCGCCTTCCATGTGCCAGGCGTATTGGTCGGGGATGCTCTTGTTGGTAGCGGCGAAGGACGCCCAGTTCTTCCACCAGTTGTTGCTGGGGAGGGGCTCGCCCGCGGATGCGGGGCCGGAGAGCTCTACGCCGGCGAGCTCAGAACTACAGCAGTCAGTTATCTATTGGACCTGTGGAATAGAAGCAAGACATACCGAAGTCTGTGGAACGTGCGACCCCACATCTGCAGGTACTGCGTTTGGTCCCGATTCCAGAAGTAGGTGAGGTCGGGCTCGTTCCAGATATCGATGATCAGGCCGTCGGTCATGCTGTTGGCCTTGATGTCGCTGAGGAGATGGGTTAGGTAGTTGTCCCAGCTGGACCAGTCGCCGTTGTCACCAGGGTAGGGTGCAGAGGAATTCTGCGTTCCGTCGGCGCCCCAGAGATCGTGGATCAGGAAGATGAATTTCGCGCCGTGCTGGCGGGAGGTTTTGTAGTTGGAGAGCGCGGACGCAAAGCGGGTCTGTCGTTGTCAGGAAGAGTCCCCTTTGCTGGGAAGGGGGTGAGCGAGTGTAGTACCTTGTACTCGTTCAGTCCCCAGATCCAGCCCCTGCCAGGCGCCGGAACCTGGGCTCCACCAGCGCGATTGTAATTGAACCCCATGTCGGTGTAGAATTTGGTCTATGTATTGTCAGTAGCGTTCGCAGTGAGAAGGATGAAGACATACAGGAATCTGATTCGGAGTATCCGGAAGACCGTACAGAATTCCCGAAGCGAGATGCTGCGGTTTGCCCGTGTTATTGGCAAAGTTGACCTGAGCCGTGACGGAATCTCTTTTCTGGTGGACCGGATTTCCAAGGGCCGTCCCGGCCAACAGCAGGGAGGCGAAAATGGTCGTCTTCATGGTAACTGCTCTTGACTTGATGATTGGGAAGTTGTGCTGTTCAATTGAGCTGAAGAAGAGTCTTCAAAGGCTTTATATACCTCAGTGGTGTCACAGGGCAACCCGGTGGAGTGGGGTAGGTTTCATTCCGGAGGCATAGGAGTGTGAAGAAATACCCCAGGAACCCAATCTGAGCGAATCCCCGAGCGGAGCAAGCTTATTTTTCCTGCAATTGTGGCGCCGTACGGAGCCATTGGAATGAGAAGATGATCGTCCCGGCGGTGGGGTTCCTACCGAAAAAGAGAGAATTGTTCCTGAGGGCCGGCGGGGAAATGTGGGGATGCGGAGAATCCGGGGTTTACATCAATCTGGATGCTTTGGGCTGTGCTCAATGTTTACTCCGTATGGTTTATGGTGTCTCGCTTAGCAGTTTGTCGTCTTATGCCATTACCTAAAAGACGATCTGATTGGTTTATGTTATGACCAGTACTCCAGCAATGGTCCAAGCTCGTTTGTCGGATTCGACACGGACTGACTGAATCCTGCTGGAATTAGGGTCTGTGCTTGTCGTCGAGTTTATTTTAAAGAATTTACGAGGTATAGTCTTATTCGTGGATTCCACACAAGGCCTGCTTTGTAATGATTCCTTTGACTAGTTATGTATCCGCACTTATGACAGTTGAACCTGTACATTCATTGAAATCCCGTGAATACAATGGTTCTAGCAAGCTCAAAGGTAGCCTCGTCCTTGCGGACATGTATCTTCGTCAATTCCTCTTTCAACTCGAGGGCTTCCTTAAGATCTATCTGCGATCCAGAGCCATTGATCCAATCTGGTTGTTGTGGGGGAACATTCCGTGTCGAGCAAATGCGGTAGGTGGGATCGACAAGACTGAGAGTAAGGAACCGACAGTGTCCCGGCTTAGTCTTGTCCTGAAGCTCTAACAGACCCATTCGGTACTGAAAGGCATTGGGGAAAGAAATCAAGCGACCTGGGGGCATTCTCACTTTCCCTAGCTCCTGCCAGGCCGGTGCATGCTGAATTGTTTCAAATCCGAAAAGTCTTCCGATATACTTGACATCCCAGCACGCATACTTCTCTTCTGGATCTGGCTCAAATATTAAGGCGTCCTCAGGGTCACTATACTCCACGTCCTCGAAATCGCTTTCGTCGTCATCGGGGCCGTCACCAGCACCTATTTTGTCGTAGACATATCTATTGCCAGCGTGTGCGAGCCGCTGCCGAAAGGAAATTTGCGGTTCGGAGACATTGTCAGAATGGAATGCGTAAATAGCGTTGGCAACTATATGCTCATTTGCATTTCCTTCAGTATGCCAGTCCTCGCCAGAAAACGATGGCATATCAGGCTCTAGCTCCATACTGTGCACCTTGACCACAACTTGAAGGCCCTTTTCTCGAAACTCGTCCTGTAGAGCAACCGTGTAAAACTGATGATCATCGTCCTTTGGACCTTTTGGCTCATAGGCCCATCGGTAGGGCTCCAGCCACGGGTTAGAGAGAAGGAATTGTTCTGTTTCAAATACTGGACCACAATTCCCCTGGTCCACGGGGCCAACAATTGCTTCGCCGGTCCTTCCTGCTTTCCAGTCCTCGTATGAATACGCAGTGCCGGGATCAGAGTGCTCAAAGAAGAACATGTGTGCATATTTTGTTAAGGCTGTACGACGCAACCCCCATCGTGTTTTCCAATCCTCCGGAATCCTTTGCGTATGAACCTGAAACCAGTGTACCTTATCCTTGGATTCGGGTTCCTGAAGGTATGCCTCCACTTGAGCGCACATCCTTTCATATTCCTCAGCAGGTAGCTGGTTCTCCTTGGAGTCTTCGGGCAGTTTTTTAGCCCACTCAGGAAATCGCGCTTTCCAATCCACCCCGTAAGTCCGTATTCGAATCGGCTCGCGAGGGCAGGGTTCGCAATGACCGATCCTGTATTCAGACGGTTCATTCCACTTCTCTCGAATGAGTATCTTATTCCACTGCTTGATACTGCTGGCAAGAACTGTCTCGATTGCTGAATATAGGTTCCGGTTTGTGGGGTGGAGATTGTTGATGTAAGAAGTAATTCGAACATCGGTGGACTCAGGCGGCCCATTGAATTCCACTTCGCAAGGCAGCCACTGAAATCTGGTTGACCAGATGCAGTCCAATCTCAGGTGTTCCCAAGCCCCTTCTTGAGCAAACGGCGGTCGCTCTGGTGCGATTTGGCCGTCATGAAGGCGTGACGACCAGAAACCTTGGTCCATTCCACAGGGTTGTCCTGCGGTCAACACCTTTGTTCTCCCATAGACAAGAGGAAACAGAGACGGGTCAACGAGATTTAAGACCGGTGACTTCCGAGCGTTGTGGGGTTGTATCCTCTCTGCCACATCCTTGGTTGATAGATCCACGGCGTCTCGTAGCTGTGCCTGTGTTGTCGGCGAGATCGCCGTATCAGATTCACAGACACCACCCCCAGTGTTGAATACTAGCACGTTCCCTCGCTTCTCAAAGTCTCTTGCCTTATCTTGCAACTCTTTCAAGCACCAGCTCCACGTCAGGTCGTTGATTAGCGACGAGGATGACAGCGCAACTTCCCGCCAGCGAGCGATTTCTTCCTGCTGGAAAATCCGCAAATGCCAGTCCGCTCTGTCGGTGATTGTATCGATCAAATCCAGCATGGCTAGCTCTTTTGCAGTGAGTATCGTACCTCGCCAGTCTTGTATTCCTGCTGCGAATTGATCCCGTGGAAGCTTGACATCAATGGGGGTATTATCGAAACCGGGGACTTTCAGTGGACGGGTTTTGTTGTCGAGGATGAGTTCAGGCATTTTAGGCCAATCACTCTGTTGATTTAGGACAATAACGGCAAGAAAGGGTAAATACAGTTGGAAGGTTCAATCCCAGGTTAATACTTAAACTAATGAGATTCTTCCACTCCCCGGAATGCAGCACGGGTAGAGTTAGTGACTCATCATGCACAATATAAGATAGGGGCTATGATGTTAGTGATATCAGGGATGGTGCCAAGGATGTTCGCTCCGCCGGGGTCTAGATGGCCTCGATATTTTTATTGGTTATGAAACGAATGTGGTAGCGGAGGATTGACAATGCCAAATCCCTGACGGCCATCCGGTTAATTGCTACACAGGTATACGCGAAGTCTTTCTTCCGGCCTAGAAGTTTGACGGCTAACACGACTAGTCCAAAGCAAAACACCTCTCCACGGAATCCGGATTATTCCCCCACCAATGCGGCATGGAAATCTGCCTCCCCGACCCGAAGAACAAGAAAATCAGCAACATGTTCAGGTTAAACCCGGCGTCGAACGCCGCCGCAATCATGTAACTGTACCGCTTCCACACCTCGAACCGCTTCCGATACGCCCAGTACATCACCACATACCCCCCGATAATAGCAGACGTGTACCCCGTACTCACATTCCCGTAAAACACCGCCAGCCCAGAGAAGAAGATACTCACGTTCCAGAGATCGATGCGCCAGCGCGGCAGGAGTCGATGCAACACATACAGCACCGGCGGGAGCAGCGCACCCAGCAGAAACGACCAGGGGAGCGGCCTCATCTCGCTTTCCTTGAAGAGCTCGGCTGGCCCGATGACGGCGTACTGCACGCCGAGGGTATTCGAGGAGATCAGCGACTGGCCGGTCCACTGGTGGAGTGGATCGGGCTTGGCGCCGGTGAGAACGTCGCGCTTGGTGGACAGGACCCAGCGCATAACGGCATAGTTCATCGGGATGCCGAGGACGGTGCCGAAGACCTGCGAGAAGAAGACGGTGCGCGGGGGGATGTGCATGTAGTGTCCGATTTTCTGGTCCTGGAGCATGTACTGTGCGCGGTACCAGGCGTCGCCGGCGATGGAGCCGTAGGTGGAGGGCCCGCAGGGATGCCGGTGGCTTTCTCCGGCTTTGGTGTGCACCATGTAGCCGTAGATGAGCTCGTTGAAGGAGCCGACGGCCAGCTGGTAGTTGGAGATGGCGTAGAGGAAGGCGAAGGGGAGGACGAGGGCGGCGGCGCTGCCGAGTGCGACGAAGAGGGTCCAGATGGGGATCCAGAGGTGGCCGCAGGCGATGGAGACGAGGAGGATGATGAAGCCGGCCATGAAGAGCGCCAGGTACCACCAGAGCGGGACTTCCTTGTAGGACCGCTGGAGGACGTTGAGGCGGTCGTGGTACTGGTGATTGATGCCCTCGCCTTTGGTCTGGGATGCTTTATCCCGGGACCTGAGCATCTTGAGTAGGTTTCTTTTGACTTGGGAGTAGCCAAATGTGGCGATCCATGCCACCGATGCCGTAACCTTGGCGTAGTCGAAGAATGTCGCCCAGACGTTCTGGAGCCCCATGTACATGGGGCCGATTTCTTCGTAGGCCGTTTGGTTCAGACGAAAGTCTGATGTCAGCAGATCCAGGATGGGATATTTGGTGCCATTGGCCGTGAGGAGAGAATTTGACATTAGTCCGTGCTTGTATGAGCCCAGGTTTCCCCATTTTGCCGCTGGGATAAGCACCCAGCAGCTGAACGCAAATGCCGAGAACAACACTACCTGCGTCCACCAGGGAGTAAGCAGAATCGATGAGCCATTCCAGTTGATGTTAGACCAGTCCAAGGAGAGGTTCAAGAAGCCCATCCCACCCAGACCGGATCCAATAAAGTTGGCGACGGGGTTACGAGGCGCAACCCAGCAGAGAAAGGCAAGCGACGACGTGAACGGGAAGACATACTCGGGGAGGAACTGCCAGAGGGTCATTCCCAGGAGCGAAAAGAAAAAGATCTTCATCTGACGTTTGGCTAAACGAGAAGAGGTGTCTTGCTTCCGGAACGTCTCGAACAGGGTGGTTTGCATCAGTGCCTGAGGCCAGATGAAAGCAGGATCGTACAGTAAGATCTGTCGTGCAATTGCAGCAAAGGCATATCCAATCCAGACAATCGCAAACATGAAGAAGATCGCCACGGCAGGGTTCACTCTTTCTCCATAGAACAATTCAGCCAGAGAGACGGGCGCGTAGCCCAGATTGTAGGACGCTCCAGATGCTGCTGTCAAGGTGACGAGCACATGCTCCTTGATACTCCACGGCGCAGGATTGAGGCTGAATGCCCATTTCGTCAGTGGGACGCGGATCGTCCAGGCAGGGAGCCACCGTGCCAGAAAGTGGCCGACATAGTGACAGGCAATCTGCACGAAGAATACGGAGTACGGCGCTTGCGTTGTACGGTAGTGGCTCATCTGCGACAAGAAAGCCCCAGGGACAACAAAGAGGACGGAGAGGAGGAAATAGCGAAAGGTGATGGTGGGCAGAGTAGGATCGTCTGTGAGGCTGACCAGTTGGCGGACCTCAAGGGGAAGTGCTGCAACCTCTGGATCTTGTTCGGTTTCTTGCTCAATGGCAGCTGTTTCGCTGACCGGTTGGATTTTCTCCGCATCATTCAAAGGCGTTGCCGTTGCAGGGACTGTTATGGATTCATTGCTGCTGGCCGGGGGGATACTCGAGGTGTCGTCAGTATCATCGGCGACTCTTCGTTTTCGACTGAAAACCGACAATCTGCCCATCTTGGCCAGTATCTACCTGAGTAGTAGTATTTCGACAGGAAAAGAAGTGACGCGAGACATGCTGGAGTTGAAATACTTAAGGGCCCCTTGCGTCTTGGGTTTAGCCCGTAAGACGTGATCGAGTAGCTATCTACCGCAAGCAGCGCTATTAGTCACAGCACCGGCGATATGCACATACTAACCCTGCTCTTGTGTGAATATGGACATGGGCAAATCTCTAGCTATCAAGATATCTGCTTGTATCTCCGAGTATGGATGCTGATTGGGCCATTCGGAGCTTAGCGTTGGCTCATGTGGAGTAATAATGTGCACTTTGTATTCTAGCGGATGGCGTTATCGGCGGATGCTTATTCGTGATCTAGAGGCTTGAATCTTGACCAATGTGATTTTCCTCATCTCGGAAGCTCTCCGCGTGCCATCGTACCATTCCAGCCTAACAGCGAGTCAATCCACACTTTCCGGACAGGAACACTGATTGTGGCCATTCTTTCTGTCATACTTATCTTGCTTTGGACCTTGATATCAGTTACACTTCGTCATGTAGTCAATAGCCCGGGGTATATGGCTGTGCCCATTGTACATCTCCGGATTAAAGTACATATATACAGTCAATTTATACCGAGTACAATAACCCCGATTAGGCTGCATCCTGCCCAGAAGGACTCTTCAAGGGACTGGCACCCGCCATCCAAACCATCACCCTGGTAAACTTGCCATCACCATCAACATCAAAAAAGTTGCAATTCCGCATGTCATTCTGTGTACCATCCATCAACTCTCCAACATAAGTCTGTTCGGTGGAAACCCTGCGATTGACTTCGTCGACAACGATGTTGGTGATCTCATGACGCATCGTTCGGGATGACTGGATAAATGCAGAAAACATGTTGCGGATCTCGTCGACACCAGTGACTGTGACATGGTCGGTTTGCACGGTGAAAGTGGCATGCGGCGCAAAGTGGGAGACTATGGCGTCGACATCTCGGTTGTCGACGGCTTTGAAGAAGCTGGCGGGTAGGAACGCCAGATGGTCGCGGATCAGCGTCATGTCTGGTAGACTGGGTGTGCAGATTGGCAAGAGGTTGATAACTATTCAGAGTTCCAGATGGAAATAGACTTGTGGATTATGTGGCAGATCGTCAGGATAAGTGGCTGATCAAGTATCTCCCCGCTTAGGGCTCGTCCCGGTCCTTGGCAAGTTTAACCCCGCTATAAGTTAAAAATTCCCAGTAAATGATATGACAGACGCTATGTTCAATATGCACAGCTGATCTAGAACAGCATCTGGGCCTTTTTAATACCTTATTCATGATGCTGTCAATTGATGGCTAGTATTCTTAATTCTAAGCATAAAGAGTAGAGGCTTGTGGTGAAGGATTTATACTGCTTTGTTAAGGATGGTTATTAGCCAACTACATTTTGCCAGTCATCCCATACATTCTGATCATTTATAGCTAATATACTAAGATACACTAAGATTATATAAGATTCCAATACTACTAGATACTAAATGTGTCTTAATGATGTTCTCAGTGCTTGTTAGTCCAGTGAGCATATGTCCATAGTCGAAGCGGTATAATATTTTAACAGCCTTCAATAACCCTAGTCTGTCTGCTGAATGCAAGATGAGAACAGGTTGTTACTTTTCTCATAGTATGTTGCCATACTGCGCGCTTTATAGTCTAGCAGGAGTATAATCCATCTAATCCACCCAAATAAGAGTACGCTGAGTCTGGTTCGCCCTTGCAGCTGCCTTCCACCATGGTGTTAAACATCAAGGATCTCTATATTGGCCGCCTGCATGTATATCAACCCATAAAAGGGCTATATAAGGGAGTATGCTCTAAAATGCCTATGAGACTATGAAAGGTTGCTTTGCATTACTCCTGAATAAATTATACTAGGGCCTTATTTCATCACTACCTTGTGCGACTAAACGGTAAATTTAACTAATTACCACAGTCGATTCCAGACAACCAGAATATCCTTAATGCCCTGCAGAAATCAGAATATACTATCTTCATGTCGACGAGAGCAGACCCAAGTAGTCATCACTCGTTAAGCCATCTAAACAGGCCATCATCATCATCATCATCAGTTTGATGATGATCATCCGACTTGCAGCAAGTCCAGCAATGCTCATAACCAATGTCAGCAGTTTCCCAGGGATAAACTCACAGGTGAGTAAAAGCAATGCCTTACCCTAAACTTATAAGGATACTGCACGTGTGAAGTGTTAGCAATATTTCTATTCTTTCACAGTA